GTCAAATACTTGATAAATGAAAAAAGAAAAATACAACCGGAATTTGCACGTTTTCAATAGTTGAAATCCTTAGCGTCCTGAGGCGCGAACAGCCACAGTCACACGTATTAGTTTATTTTTAAAGCACAGAAGCACTACAACTGGAGTCTATTTCTCATATATTATAGTCACCGATCACTTTGAACACATACACACACTTTGAAGCTTAGAAAACAAGCTTATCTCTTAATTACAGCCTCTGGGATTCCAAAATCACAAATTGAAAAGGTTATGTTTTCTCAGCGTTTTGAGCACGAGTTGCGTCGATGCAGCAAGCAGCGGCGGGAGTAACACTACCACCTACGTTGCCAGATTTCTTTGTTCACGGCTCGTAGTTGACGTCGGCTGTGGTACTACCCGTCCCAAAAACTGGGCCAATTCTTTTGGGTGCTTCAGTTTTTGAAAGATATGATTGCTAGTTTGGGTAAATGGAGGGAACAGCATTTTCTTTCAATTTTGGATATTTCAAAGGTATATTATTTTGGACTGTTCCATCCGCCAATACTATATTTTCTGTCCTGATGATATCCGATCCTCTAAAATGACGACTGCACACAGCTGAATATTTTGAAGGTGTCCAATTTTTTCTGGGAATTGCCATAAGCCATTTGTTTTTCAGACTTTCGGTACTTGGGAAGAGAAAAGTTGAAACATAGCTTTCTGTTTTCAAAGCAGAATTATAGTTTGCATTGCATAAAGGAACACAGCAACAACGAGGCATATTGTCTGCGTCAAATACTTGATGAATGAAAAAAGAAAAATACAACCTGCATTTGCACGTTTTCAATAGTTGAAATCCTTAGCGTCCTGAGGCGCGAACAGCCACAGTCACACTTCTTAGTTTATTTTTAAAGCACAGAAGCACTACAACTGAAGTCTATTTCTCATATATTATAGTCACCGATCACTTTGAACACATACACACACTTTGAAGCTTAGAAAACAAGCTTATCTCTTAATTACAGCCTCTGGGATTCCAAAATCACAAATTGAAAAGGCTATGTTTTCTCAGCGTTTTGAGCACGAGTTCCGTCGATGCAGCAAGCAGCGGCGGGAGTAACGCTACCACTTACGTTGCCAGATTTCTTTGTTCACGGCTCGTAGTTGACGTCGGCTGTGGTACTACCCGTCCCAAAAACTGGGCCAGTTCTTTTGGGTGCTTCAGTTTTTGAAAGATATGATTGCAAGTTTGGGTAAATGGAGGGAACAGCATTTTCTTTCAATTTTGGATATTTCAAAGGTATATTATTTTGGACTGTTCCATCCGCCAAAACTATATTTTCTGTCCTGATGATATCCGATCCTCTAAAATGACGACTGCACACAGCTGAATATTTTGAAGGTGTCCAATTTTTTCTGGGAATTGCCATAAGCCATTTGTTTTTCAGACTTTCGGTACTTGGGAAGCGAAAAGTTGAAACATAGCTTTCTGTTTTCAAAGCAGAATTATAGTTTGCATTTCATAAAGGAATACAGCAACAACGCGGCATATTGTCTGCGTCAAATACTTGATAAATGAAAAAAGAAAAATACAACCTGAATTTGCACGTTTTCAATAGTTGAAATCCTTAGCGTCCTGAGGCGCGAACAGCCACAGTCACACTTCTTAGTTTATTTTTAAAGCACAGAAGCACTACAACTGGAGTCTATTTCTCATATATTATAGTCACCGATCACTTTGAACACATACACGCACTTTGAAGCTTAGAAAACAAGCTTATCTCTTAATTACAGCATCTGGGATTCCAAAATCGCAAATTGAAAAGGTTATATTTTCTCAGCGTTTTGAGCACGAGTTGCGTCGATGCAGCAAGCAGCGGCGCGAGTAACACTACCACCTACGTTGCCAGATTTCTTTGTTCACGGCTCGTAGTTGACGTCGGCTGTGGTACTACCCATCCCAAAAACTGGGTCAGTTCTTTTGGGTGCTTCCGTTTTTGAAAGATATGATTGCAAGTTTGGGAAAATGGAGGGAACGGCATTTTCTTTCAATTTTGGATATTTCAAAGGTATATTATTTTGGAATGTTCCATCCGCCAAAACTATATTTTCTGTCCTGATGATATCCGATTTTCTAAAATGACGACTGCACACAGCTGAATATTTTGAAGGCGTCCAATTTTTTCTGGGAATTCCCATAAGCCATTCGTTTTTCAGACTTTCCGGTACTTGGGAAGCGAAAAGTTGAAACATAGCTTTCTGTTTTCAAAGCAGAATTATAGTTTGCATTGCATAAAGGAACACAGCAACAACGAGGCATATTGTCTGCGTCAAATACTTGATAAATGAAAAAAGAAAAATACAACCTGAATTTGCACGTTTTCAATAGTTGAAATCCTTAGCGTCCTGAGGCGCGAACAGCCACAGTCACACTTCTTAGTTTATTTTTAAAGCACAGAAGCACTACAACTGGAGTCTATTTCTCATATATTCTAGTCACCGATCACTTTGAACACATACACACACTTTGAAGCTTAGAAAACAAGCTTATCTCTTAATTACAGCCTCCGGGATTCCAAAATCACAAATTCAAAAGGTTATGTTTTCTCAGCGTTTTGAGCACGAGTTGCGTCGATGCAGCAAGCAGCGGCGCGAGTAACACTACCGCCTACGTTGCCAGATTTCTTTGTTCACGGCTCGTAGTTGACGTCGGCTGTGGTACTACCCGTCCCAAAAACTGGGTCAGTTCTTTTGGGTGCTTCAGTTTTTGAAAGATATGATTGCAAGTTTGGGTAAATGGAGGGAACAGCATTTTCTTTCAATTTTGGATGTTTCAAAGGTATATTATTTTGGACTGTTCCATCCGCCAAAACTATATTTTCTGTCCTGATGATATCCGATCCTCTAAAATGACGACTGCACACAGCTGAATATTTTGAAGGTGTCCAATTTTTTCTGGGAATTGCCATAAGCCATTCGTTTTTCAGACTTTCGGTACTTGGGAAGCGAAAAGTTGAAACATAGCTTTCTGTTTTCAAAGCAGAATTATAGTTTGCATTGCATAAAGGAACACAGCAACAACGAGGCATATTGTCTGCGTCAAATACTTGATAAACGAAAAAAGAAAAATACAACCTGAATTTGCACGTTTTCAATAGTTGAAATCCTTAGCGTCCTGAGGCGCGAACAGCCACAGTCACACTTCTTAGTTTATTTTTAAAGCACAGAAGCACTACAACTGCAGTCTATTTCTCATATATTATAGTCACCGATCACTTTAAACACATACACGCACTTTGAGGCTTAGAAAACAAGCTTATCTCTTAATTACAGCCTCTGGGATTCCAAAATCGCAAATTGAAAAGGTTATGTTTTCTCAGCGTTTTGAGCACGAGTTGCGTCGATGCAGCAAGCAGCGGCGGGAGTAACTTTACCACCTACGTTGCCAGATTTCTTTGTTCACGGCTCGTAGTTGACGTCGGCTGTGGTACTACCCGTCCCAAAAACTGGGTCAGTTCTTTTGGGTGCTTCAGTTTTTGAAAGATATGATTGCAAGTTTGGGTAAATGGAGGGAACAGCATTTTCTTTCAATTTTGGATATTTCAAAGGTATATTATTTTGGACTGATCCATCCGCCAAAACTATATTTTCTGTCCTGATGATATCCGATTCTCCAAAATGACGACTGCACACAGCTGAATATTTTGAAGGTGTCCAATTTTTTCTGGGAATTGCCATAAGCCATTTGTTTTTCAGACTTTCGGTACTTGGGAAGCGAAAAGTTGAAACATAGCTTTCTGTTTTCAAAGCAGAATTATAGTTTGCATTGCATTAAGGAACACAGCAACAACGAGGCATATTGTCTGCGTCAAATACTTGATACATGAAAAAAGAAAAATACAACCTGAATTTGCACGTTTTCAATAGTTGAAATCCTTAGCGTCCTGAGGCGCGAACAGCCACAGTCACACTTCTTAGTTTATTTTTAAAGCACAGAAGCACTACAACTGGAGTCTATTTCTCATATATTATAGTCACCGATCACTTTGAACACATACACGCACTTTGAAGCTTAGAAAACAAGCTTATCTCTTAATTACAGCATCTGGGATTCCAAAATCACAAATTGAAAAGGTTATGTTTTCTAAGCGTTTTGAGCACGAGTTGCGTCGATGCAGCAAGCAGCGGCGCGAGTAACACTACCACCTACGTTGCCAGATTTCTTTGTTCACGGCTCGTAGTTGACGTCGGCTGTGGTACTACCCGTCCCAAAAACTGGGTCAATTCTTTTGGGTGCTTCAGGTTTTGAAAGATATGATTGCAAGTTTGGGAAAATGGAGGGAACAGCATTTTCTTTCAATTTTGGATATTTCAAAGGTATATTATTTTGGACTGTTCCATCCGCCAAAACTATATTTTCTGTCCTGATGATATCCGATTCTCTAAAATGACGACTGCACACAGCTGAATATTTTGAAGGTGTCCAATTTTTTCTGGGAATTGCCATAAGCCATTCGTTTTTCAGACTTTCGGTACTTGGGAAGCGAAAAGTTGAAACATAGCTTTCTGTTTTCAAAGCAGAATTATAGTTTGCATTGCATAAAGGAACACAGCAACAACGAGGCATATTGTCTGCGTCAAATACTTGATAAATGAAAAAAGAAAAATACAACCGGAATTTGTACGTTTTCAATAGTTGAAATCCTTAGCGTCCTGAGGCGCGAACAGCCACAGTCGCACTTCTTAGTTTATTTTTAAAGCACAGAAGCACTACAACTGGAGTCTGTTTCTCATATATTATAGTCACCGATCACTTTGAACACATACACACACTTTGAAGCTTAGAAAATAAGCTTATCTCATAATTACAGCCTCCGGGATTCCAAAATCACAAATTCAAAAGGTTATGTTTTCTCAGCGTTTTGAGCACGAGTTGCGTCGATGCAGCAAGCAGCGGCGCGAGTAACACTACCACCTACGTTGCCAGATCTTTCCTAAATTCAAGCTCTATCTGTTCTCAGACACGAAGCAATGAACGATCTGGTGCACCTGTTAAGCCAGCTGTTGGACAAGAATGGCAAGATCCTTATTCCAGGCCTGTTCAATGAAGTCGCTCCTCTTACAGAAACCGAGAAAACCTTATATCCGAAAATCGAGTTTAACGTTGAAGAATATCGCCAAAATATCGGAGCTAAAAAGCTGTTGCTCGATACTAAGGAGGATATACTGATGCATAGATGGAGGTAAGGATACTTTTTCTGACATTCAAATAATACCGATTTGTAGTCAGTTTTAATTAGTTTGAACATTTCTACCCACTTAGATTTGAAAATTTTCTTTAATATCCGAAATGACTACAATAAAGAAGAATTTCATTCGCAAAGACAAACACGGGAAATTACCGTATTCGGATGTTTTCAATGTTTGTTTGTTTGTTTCAGATTTGTTTAGCATTAATGCTACAATGTCCATAATATCCATATTACACTGCATATCACAAAATATATAGTTATCCATTTGAGAGTTTTTTCAGTTGAATATGTTTTTTAAATGTGGCGTTTGAATACACACAATTTAGACATATTGTTTGTTCTGTACAAAAGTTACTATTATGGTCTTTTCCACATTTTACACGTGTTTGATGATTTCTATATTTTTTGTAGAGTGGTTGAATTTTTTAAAACCTACAAATATTTTGCCACTATTTTCTTCTATATGTAATTGTGGTAGTTAAGTTATCCGAGGGAAACTCTACCCAAAAAAACCTCTTTCGGCTGTAATTTACTTGATGTTTTGAATCTCCATTACAGTAGGATGTGTTTGTTTTATTACATCTCTAATCGAACAGATGTTTAACTTTTAGGAGAACCGTTTTTGTGTATTTATGTACAAGTTGTACAAAGTTGTACAGTTTAAATTTGGCGTTATGATATTCAACTTCTCAAAAAATTAACTCACTTTTTTATGTATACACTCACCACTATTATCTCACTACTTTTCTCACTTGAATGCATGCTTTGGCCCGCCAGCACTGCTGCTGTAAAGAAAAATGGTATAACATTATCGAAAGCCCAAAAAGAATAAATTGCAAACTTTCTTTCTGGCTTGAATGTCTTTGCGTGGAGGCTGCAACAAGATTTTCGTGCTTAAAAAATGATTTTTGAAGGTATCCGGCTCTGTCTCTTCATGGAATAGAGGGCGCATTCAGTGATCCCGGCCAAAAAACTGTAATTCCCAGGAAAGTGATAGGAAAATTCTCGATAAGGATCGTTCCGAACCAGGAACCTGAGCAAATTGAAAAGTACGTCGTAGATTACGTTCAGAAGAAGTTTGCCGAGCTTGGGAGTCCCAACCAGATGAAGGTAAGTTTTAGACACTTCCAACATTACGTTGAGTTTGAACAGAATTTTAATTTTGCGGGACATAGTTTTTTACACATTTTTTTTTTGTTAATAGTAAGGCACTAATAATTTTGTTTGTTGAAGATTTATTTAGCATTAATGCTACAATATCAATTTTGTATAATTATTCGTTTAGACATTTGAACCCATTTTCTGTAATTTTACATTATTGTCTATTGAAATTACATCACTATACATTTTGAGTATTCATAAAGCAGTTTTTTAATTTTTCCAAATTTGGTGAAAATCTAGGATTTTAGAATTGGAATATGAGGATGGGAACTAAATAACATAAATATCATTTTTTTTACATTCAACCACTGTAGTTCTTCTAACATAGACTTAATTAATCCTAGCGTATGTTGCTTTTATTTAAAATGATTTTCATAGCTTTATTTTGTAGAATTTGCAATTTTGAAAATATATTTTCATTTACTGTAAACAACATGGTTGAAAAATGGAGAAGAATTATAGTGTTGTACACAAGTTTTTTGGAATACATACTGAGATTATGGAAAACTCCATGGAATTAATTTATCTTTTTTGATATAATGTATTCACAAGGCTCTTGAAACAGTAGTTTACTATCCACATATACAGGGTGTTTTTCACAACTTCTTTGACACATTTTAACCACATATGCACTGTTCGGAAAGAAGTTGATTTCTCAAAAAAAAAAAAAATGAAATAAAAGTCCTACAGAAATCGAGATATTAAAATAATACAGTTTAACAGTTCACTTACATATAAAAGCTGTTCAAAATTGTTTTCATTGACTGGAATGCAAGCTTGGGCGCGTCTAATCTTCTCCAGCACGTGCACGTAAAACAATTGAACTAAATGTTTCCTGTTGTGGTATGTGCCTATTCGAATTTTTCCCTGCTTCTCCGTACGCTAAAACAATGTCTACTAACACCTCATCAGTGTACACATGTGCCATTTTTATTAATAAATAACTAAAAACATAAACTCGCAAAATACTTTCTTATTTAACTTCATAAAAATCGACCGTTCTTCATTCAGATCACGCACGATACAGATTAAGCCTTATTTACACGTTCTTATCAGTATGAAAAAACAAAAAATTCCTGCTATTTTGTTTTCGTCAGTTGTTTGGTACAACATTTGCTACAATGGATACTGGACAACAAATTTTAGTTTTTTAATTGTATCTTGTGGGAAAAGTGCACTTCTTTGTTCATTTTGGGGCGCTGAATCCAAAAATGACAATGAAATAAAAAAATTAGTTGCGGTTTAGAAAAAAAAACTTTTTATTTTTAAGGATATATTAAAAAAGTAACAAGATTGATATACTTATAAGAATCACTATATGCGCTGTCTTTTTGCTGTTCTTTTATGGATCGTTTCTGGAGCATCTCTACCAAGAGTCCAACAGTAGTCTGCAAGCATGGAAGGATTCCACTTTCCCTGGTACCTTTTTTCCATTGTTGAAATATCCTGATGAAAACGTTCGCCGTGCTCATCACTTCGGCTCCGCAATTGTCAGGAAAAAAGTCCAGGTGTGAGTGTAGGAAATGTATCTTAAGAGACATATTACAGCCCATCTTTTGATACGATGACAGCATATTTTTGACAAGGGTTTTATAGTTGTCAGCTTTTCTATTTCCCAAGAAATTAGTGACCACCAGACGGAAATCATTCCAAGCAGTTTTTTCAATACCTGTTAAAGTGTTTTCAAACTGTGTATCTTTCAAAATATTTCGAATCTGTGGCCCAGCAAAAATACCTTCTTTAACCTTTGCCTCACTTAGTCTTGGAAATTTCTGACGCAGGTATTGAAAAGCTGACCTATCTCTATCTAATGCCTTGACAAAGTTTTTCATTAGGCCCAACTTGATATGCAGTGGTGGTAATAAATTTTTTTTCGAATCTACTAATGGCATATGCTGTACATTTTTTTGACCTGGCTCTAGGAATTGACGAACAGGCCAGTTTTGTCTGGTGTAATGAAGTGCCTTTGCCCGACTGTCCCATTCACACAAAAAACAGCAAAACTTTGTGTAGCCTAGCTGCAGCCCAAGTAAAAGTGCAACAACTTTCAAATCGCCACAAATATGCCATTGGTGCTCATCGTATTTTATGCATGTCAATAGTTACTTCATATTGTCATATGATTCTTTCATGTGAACTGCATACCCTACAGGAAGAGATGGTAAAATATTTCCAATATGCAATAACACTGCCTTTAAACTCAATGTTGAACTGTCTATAAGCAATCTCCATTCTTCTGGGTTACAGTTTATATTTAAAGCCGCCAGTAAGCCGTTAATGTTACTGCAGAAAACCAAGTTATTCTCCATATTGAAAAATGGTTCTAAGTCTTTGTGGCGTTTACGAAAAACACATACCGAAACATCGTCTTCTAACAAGTTCCACTGCTGCAGTCTTGATCCAAGTAACTCTGCCTTACATTTTGGAAGTTCTAAATCTCTTACAAGATCATTTAATTCGGACTGTGTTATTTTGTGCGGTTGGTCGCATGACGTGCTCGGTATAAAATCAGGATCTCTTGACGTTGATGGCATATCTTCTTCCTGACGAATCACTCGATCGTCATGATCTGATTCGTTTTCTGATTCGCAAGTGTAGGATTCTGGGGGTTTTGGAATAGGATTTTCGTCACTGTGAGGCACAGGTCTCATCGCAGATGGTATGTTTGGGTAGTTAATAACCGATTTTTTTTTCTTGGACATACCTGTGGCTTGGTACCATGCAAAAGTAACAATCATTAATATGATTTGTAGGCTCTCTTCAAACCATTGGGACAGCAAAGCGCATAGACCGTTTTTTGCCATTTAACCAGCTCCTCAGACTTGAAGCACATGTATTACAGCAGATGTGGTGTGCCCACTGTTTGTCTTGATCACCTAGTTTACAACCGAAATAAAGCTGATATGCCTTTGTTATTAGTGGAGTAATAGACCGTCTCCGAGACGCAAAAGTCACATCACCACACACGTAACAAAACTGATCTGGATTGTTTACACACTTTCGAGACATCTTGCATGAACGCTGTCAGCCAACTGAGGAAAAAATGACTAATATAAAACAATATAATGTACACGTATGTATAACGTAACACAATCATGCCGATTACATCATCTTTCCTTGCCGAATATAAAAATGTAGCACGTGCATTCTTGTGAATTACAGTATATTAACACTGTCACAGCAGGAACACATATAATTGCCGTATCTCTAAAACTTGAACTAATATTGAAAAAATAAGTTTCATTCCGGTTTTAGCACATTAAAAGTAGTAATATTTTGTTGATTTTATTTAGGATATTTTTTGGCTGTTGATCAGCGAAATTATATACTTTATATTTTCACTCAGGTACAAATGGTTCATGGTGGTCCAACTTGGAGCGAAGACCCAACCCATCCTCATTACCAAGCAGGTGTCAAGGCCACAAAGCACGTTTACGGCGTGGAACCTGACATGAGCAGAGAGGGCGGGTCCATCCCTGTAACGTTGACGTTGCAAAAAGCCACCGGGAAGAATGTGCTGTTATTGCCTGTCGGTGCTGGTGACGATGGCGCACATTCGCAAAATGAGAAGATCGATATCAGGAACTATATTCAAGGGGTAAGGAAATTATTTGGTTTTTTTGTTAAGAGGAATCAAGTGAAGCCGGTTGTCGAATTTGTGATCAGCGCGACTCTAAATTCGAAAGTTTTATTTTGGACTTACAATTTTTTGATCAAAACGATACGATTGATAATTTCATCTCTAGGTGAACTGGCATACATGTTTGTTGTTGTTGAAGATTTATTTAGCATTAGTGCTACAATGCCAGTTTTGTGTAATGATTCGGTTGCATATTTTTCTTCAATCCATTTTCTGAAATTTTACATTCTTGTCTATTAAAATTACGTCACTAAGTATTTTGATTATTTATATAGTGATTTTTCAATTTTACCTTAAACAAATTCGAACTCTGTTTAATATCATTATTCAATTTATTGAAATTCAAATACTCCCTTTTGAAATTTAGATTTACTAGTTATGCTACTATTACAATTTTGCAGATGAAAATCTGTACTGCCTCTACTTTCGTAGTTATGATAATGACTATTTAAGTTTTCTAAATGTGGTGGTAATAAATTATTTTTTAACTTGAATATGAAGACTAGAACTAAATAATATGTGAAATTTTTTACATCCAACCATTGCATTTCTTCTAACATGGACTTAATGCTGACATATTTGTTTTTATTTAAAATGATTCTCATAGCTTTATTTTGTTGAATTTCTAATTTTGAAAATTTGTTTTCATATGCTGTAAACAAGATGGTTGAATAATATAAAAAATGGGGAAGAATTATAGTGTTATACACAATTTTTTTTTGGATTACATACTAAGATTATGGGAAACTCTATAGAAGTAATTTATCTTTTTTGATATTTTTGAAATAATGTATTCATAATGTTTATGAAACAGTAGCTTACTATCCACATATACAGGGTGTCCCAAAAGTCGACGTCAAGCCGAAACCGGGTGATAGGCAAAGTCATAACAGATAGCAGAAAAATATTTCAAAAAATTGTATGTATGTGTTTTGAAAATTATAGGTCTTTGAAAAAGATATAGAAATTTCACACCCTACGGCAGTCTGTCAACTCCTGTTACTACAAATATTAACTTTTTTTGGATTTTATTTTTACAATGTAATGATGAGTAATGCATCTTCAAACTGGTGTCTCAACCTTACTGCCAACTTTTCTCGTTCAGGAAAAATTGCCACTTATTTCCCAACCACGTATTCCAAAGTAAAACTTTACTCAACTTTAACTGGCTGTACTGGAAAAAAATGTACTACGAGAGTTTGGCAAGTAACCTTAAAAGTTGGCGCATTTAATAAGGATTCCAAAATGGTATAACACTTAGAAGATTACTCGTTAACTTGTGCACAATTTTTATTTGAAGAATATTTTTCAAAATTCCCTAATTAAACAGCGATTATGAAAACGCACAAGGACCCTTAAGGATAACTGTTTGCACAACAGTGAGCGTCAAAATGCTGCTGATGATGATTTACCTTTACAGCAAATGCTCAAACTGTTTTCCTTCAGCCGCAATACACGCTCGACATCTTCTTAAAAAAGATCGGGTTATTAAACGAGCGAATCCACGGTTATTAACAAACTCAGCTGCTTCCAATAGTCTTTGCCGTAGCTCAGCTACATTTTGAATCGGCTTGAAATACACTTTTTCTTTTACAGTTCTCCAGTAAAAAAATCTAAAGGATTCAAATCAGGTGATCGGGCTGGCCACGGTATTATACCAGACCGCCTTGTCCATCTGCCTGGAAAGTTTTGATCGAGATACTCTCTCACTGAGAGTGCATAGTGCGCTGGGCAGCCATCATGCCGAAACCACATGTCCCTGTAAATACTCAGTAGCACGTCCACCAATAAATTTTGTACATGATTTTTCAAAAAATCCTAATAAACTTCAGCAGTCAAAGTCTCTGGGAACTCAAACGGACCGATTATTTTACCATTTAAAATTCCTGTCCAATGGTTTATCTTGAAGCGATATTGAGATTTATCTGCTCTCATCAAATGTGGGTTTGCTACGTGCCACTCGTGTAAGTTATGCAGGGTCATGTACCCATTTTTCTTAAATGTGGTCTCATCCGACCATACAATTTTTTCAAAGAACTGTGGATCTTTGCTGTGTCTTTCTAACATTGTGCGACAAAAAGCAACTCGGGGCTCATAATCCCGGGGCAGGGGAGGTTGAACACGCTGTATGTGGTATGGATGAAGCACATCACTTACTTGCTATTGCACACTTTGATACCGATCAGTACTCCTTCGGTTACTCCGCATATTTACCTCTTCGTGCTTGTTGATTTCGTACTGTTACTAATTTTGGATTCGTGAACTGGACTGTTGATCGCTTGTGATTTGGATTTGGACTGTTTAATTGGTCTTCAAAACAACATTTGCTTTCCTTAGACTATCTTTGATAGTGTGATTGTGCAGTGCCGCTATGTCCGTGAAAACAGTACAAGAATATGCTAACATGCACCTCGTTTATGGGGAATGCAGATGCAACGCTAGTGCTGCAGCGAGACTTTACTGTGAGAGGTACCCGAATGCAGCTCGTCATCCAGATCATCGAGTGTTCACAAATGTGCACCACTTACTGTTCTCAGAGGGCCAACTGCCAAACCAATCACACGGTGAGGGAAGATCTTTCCTTCCTTACGAAGACGTGGTGCTAGGAGCTGTCGAAGAAGACCCGAGTACTTCAGTGCGTGCAATAGAACTAAAAACAGGTGTGCCCAAAAGTACAGCCCATAGAATCTTGCAAAAAAACGTGCTCGATCCATACCATGTACAGCGTGTTCAAGCTCTTCTGCCCCGGGATTATGAGCCACAAGTTGCTTTTTGTCGCACAATGTTAGAAAGACACAGGGAAGATCCACGGTTCTTTGAAAAAATTTAATGGTCGGATGAGACCACATTTAAGAAAGATGGGTACATGAACCTGCATAACTTACACGAATGGCACGTAGCAAACCCACAGTTGATGAGAGAAGATAAATCGCAATATCGCTTCAAGATAAAGCATTTTTAAATGGTAAAATAAGCGGTCCGTTTGAGTTCCCAGAGACTTTGACTGCTGAGGTTTATTTAGGTATTTTGCAAAATCATTTAGAAAATTTATTGGAGGACGTGCCACTGAGTATTTACAGGGACATGTGGTTTCAGCATGATGGCTGCCCAGCGCACTATGCACTCTCAGTGAGAGAGTATCTCGATCAAAACTTTCCAGGCAGATGGATAGGGCGGTCTGGTACAATACCGTGGCCAGCCCGGTCACCAGATTTGAATCCGTTAGATTTTTTTTACTGGGGAACTGTAAAAGAAAAAGTGTATTTCAAGCCGATTCAAAATGTAGCTGAGCTACGGCAAAGACTATTGGAAGCAGCTGAGTTTGTTAATAACCGTGGATTCGCTCGTTTAATAACCCGATCTTTTTTAAGGAGATGTCGAGCGTGTATTGCGGCTGAAGGAAAACAGTTTGAGCATTTGCTGTAAAGGTAAATAATCATCAGCAGCATTTTGACGCCCACTGTTGTGCAAACATTTATCCTTAAGGGTCCTTGTGCGTTTTCATAATCGCTGTTTAATTAGGAAATTTTGAAAAATTTTCATCAGTTTCTTTTCAAATAAAAATTGTGCATAAGTTAACGAGTAATCTTCTAAGTGTTATACCATTTTGGAATCCTTATTAAATGCGCCAACTTTTAAGGTTACTTGCCAAACTCTCGTAGTACATTTTTTTCCAGTACAGCCAGTTAAAGTTGAGTAAAGCTTTACTTTGGAATACTCGGTTGGGAAATAAGTGGCAATTTTTCCTGAACGAGAAAAGTTGGCAGTAAGGTTGAGACACCACTTTGAAGGTGCATTATTCATCACTACGTTGTAAAAATAAAATCCAAAAAAAGTTAATATTTGTAGTAACAGGAGTTGACAGACTGCCGTAGGGTGTGAAATTTCTATATTTTTTTCAAAGACCTATAATTTTCAAAACACATACATAAAATTTTTTTAAATATTTTTCTGATAGCTCTTATGACTCTGCCTATCACCCGGTTTCGGCTTGACGTCGACTTCTGGGACACCCTGTATAAGTGTATCGTCCGCAAATATTTGAATTTTACAGTGTTCTAAAATGTCAGAGATGTCATTTATATAAATAATAAATAGTAACGGCCTTAATTTACTCCCCTGTGGCACCCCTACTGATATACAGCAATGGACAAAAGTATATAGACAAATATGAAAATTCACCTAAATACCTTTAGAAAACGAATTCATACTTCATTGCTACATAAACAAATGCGTTATTAGTAGAAAAACTAAATTCCTTGTTTTTACATTATCTGCAATGAACACAAGTCTGAATATAAGCACTTTTTTATGAGGGACAAAAATATGCAGACAAATTCTTTTCAACATTAGTTTAGTACAGTTTCGTGTCAGAAGAGGATGAGTTTGTGTTCATCAAGTATTGTGGAATAAGTTGAGTGATTTTAAGACCATGCCGCGTGGCCCAGAAATTTTGTTCGATGTAAAAACTAAGATCATCGAGTTATACAAAGATGGTCAACGTCAAGTCGACATTGCTAAAAATTTTAAGCTGAAGCCTAAAGCAGTTTGGGCAATAGTGAACAAATTTAAACAAAAAGGTATCTTGGAAGACTCTAAGAGAAGTGGTCGGCCTAGAAAACTAAATGCTAGATCAGTTAGATTGATAAAAGTGATTTCGTCCAAAGATCCGTTTAAAACCCCTGAACAAATAAAAGCCGAAATTGAGACAAAAGAAATTGTCAGTGTTTCTACGAAAACTATAAGTAGAAGATTAAATGATTTGCCCGAGTAAGAAGCCGCTAATCTCGAGGAAAAACTGTAAGGACCGATTACAATTTGTACTTGATTGGAGCATCTGTGACTGGAAGAGGGTATGTTTCAGTGACGAATCCAAGTTTAATATGTTTGGATCAGATAGTGTCCTAGTGGACAAAGATTGAACCTCAAGTACACTTTGCCCACTGTCAAATATGGAG